GCGAGATCATGACAAACCAGAGGGCTGGGCAACCACCAACTACATGAAGTTTGACAAGAGCAATTGCTGCATTCTGCACTTGGGTCAGAGCAATCCTGGGTACATTTACAGTTTAGGGGATGAGAGACTGGACAGCAACCCCACAGAGAGAGATCTGTCGGTCTGGGTGACAGCAAGGTGAATGTGAGCCAGCAGTGTGCCCTGGCAGCCCGAAGGCTCAGCACTGCCACCGGGCAAGGGAGGGGCTGTTCTGCTCTGCTCTATGTGGCCTCAGCTCCTGCACTGGGTAGAGTTTGGAGTGCCACAGTTCGGAAAGGACATAAAACTATTAGAGAGTGTCCAAAGAAAGCCTATGAAAGTGGTGAAGGGTCTAAAGGTCAAGGGGCAGCTGAGGTCCCTGGGCTTGCTCAGCCCAGAGCAGAGGAGCTGAGGGGAGGCCTGATGGCGGCTGCAGCTCCTCACAGGGAGCGGAGGAGCAGCGCTGAGCTCTGCTCTGTGTGACAGCAACAGGGCCCGAGGGAACGGCATGGAGCTGCGTCACGGGGGTCAGGGAAAGGGTCTGCACCACAGGTTGGGCAGGAGCATGGAACAGGCTGCCCAGGGCAGGGGGTGCAGCCCCAACTGCCAGAGTTGAAGGAGTGTCTGGACAGCGCTCTCAGTCACTGGGTTTGAATCTTGGGTGGTCCTGGGTGGAGCCAGGGGTTGGACTCGATGATCCTTGTGCATCCAACCCAGGGATATTCTATGGTTCTGTGATTCTTTGTGGGTAGCGGTGAGACAAATGGAAAGTTTTGCCAGAAGCTTTTGCAGAATTCTAAGGAATAGCAGGGAAAGATCCTCTCTACTTCAATTCAGAAAGTGGGAAAAAAGACATATATTATTGTAGTGGAAATGCTGAGTCATGGCTTGAAACAGTGATTGAGCACCTGGTGGGAAGGCAGGGCCAGCCCAGAGGAGCTCAGGTGTATGCAATGCAGCTGAGTGACCAGAAGGGGTGCACCCAGGATCCACCCCTTCCCAGACCTCATTCCTCAAGGATTGGTAGTGGAAGCAAGAGTATCTTGCTGGAGATCCGTGTGTACCTGAGGTTTTCTGAGGGTGAGTAGCTTTTTTTCCTTTGTTTCTGTGTGTATGGCTGTTGTATTTGAGCAAGTCTCCACTTGCTGCAGCCTAGGATTTTGCTGCTCTGTTGTCATTGCTGTACTTTCCATCACGTTGTAGCATTACGATAACAGATGGCTTTCACTGTAGAGGGAAGTTGTCAGTGTGCTCCTGCAAGTATTTGCGATTTAGATTTTAGCATTTGGTGTATTGGTGACCTAGCAAAGAATGAATAGTAAGTTAACAAAGTTTTCTGTTCTTGCAAAGTTATTAAGCACAGTCAGTATTAATGCTAAGCTCAAAGTTGCAGAACGATATTGCAGTTGGCTTGCTGACTGGACGATCAAATAGCAGATGTAAATTTAATGTCAGTAACTGTAAAGCATGGGGAAAAAATAACTCTGGAGTTCTGAATTAGCTATTAGTCCTTAGGAAATAGGACTTCAAGTCAATGCGAATAACTTCCTGAAAATGTCAGCACAGTACTGAGCAATCATCAAATCTCTAGATGAGATATTTTTACTTACCTTGAAATAACTGAGCACGAAGTGGAAGTTCCCTTTATGTCATTCTGTATTGCTCCAGTGCACGTGTCTTAAAGACTGCTTGTTATCTTGGTCACTGTGTTTTAAATAGATTATAGCAAAACTAAAATAAGATGAGTGATGAAGATTTTAGGGCTCTTAAATGAGGGCTCCTAAATGATGAGACAGTGTGAACAGTAGAAGCACATAAAGATGTGTCAGGGATCTGCTGGAGAAGTCTGCCAAGTAAGGGTTGGCATGGAGGGACTGAATGCAAAATTAATTTTTATTATGTGTCATAACACAAGAACTACTGGAAAAGTAAACAAAATAATCACAAAGTGAAAATAAAATGATCAAAAGATTTTTTTTTTTAGTTCACTGTCATAAAATAAAGGCTGTTGGGGAAAAAAAAGAATGGTGAATGTTTCAAAATAGATCAGACAAGTTTATAAATGATTTAGAAAGCTAGTGCTTTCAGCAAGCACTTGAGCAGGCTAGCTGGGTAGTTGGTCTGACCCATTATGCCTGTTCATAAGTTACAGCAGAGCTCCTGCTTTTACTCACCCTCCTGTCTGCCAGGTCATCCCCACCTATGGATCCTTTTCATGACCAGTCAGTGTAATTCCACAGTGAAGCTATGCTTTCTGAGGAGCACAGCCACCTCTACCCAGCCCTAGTGAGGCCCACCTGCAGTGCTTTGTCCAGCTCTGGGCTCCCCACTGCAAGAGAGGCATGGACATACTAGAGCAAGTCCGGTAGAAGGGCCTGAATCATCTGACACAGCAGAAGGGACCATGATAACTGGGACTGTTCAGCCTAGAAAGGAGAAAGCTCAGAAGTAAAATGGGAGGTGTCACAGCTGGGACAACTGATCCAAATGGGTATCCCTAATATCCTGCATCATGCTAGAAAAGATTACAGAACAGAATCTTGAGGGAGATTACACAGCATGTGTGAATCAGCTGGGGGGTTGGATCTAGCCAGCATGGGTTCATGAAAAACAGGTCTGTAGTGGCACTGTATGATTTCCTCTGCTTTGGTCCTAATTTTTTTTCCCTCTCTTCCCTTCACCAATTGAGTTGTCTTTATCTCAACCCACAATCTTCCTCGCTTTTGTTCCTCCTATTTTCTCCCACTGGAGGTGAGGGGAAAAAGCAGCTGGGGGTACTTGGCTGCTGGCTGGAGTCAATCCTCCACGATTCTCCATCCTGAAAATTATTTTGTTTGGTGTCTACCAAATCTGAGACATCGTCAGAATCATATCACTTCCATTTGTTACTGTACAATCCTGTACAGCGTACTCGATGTAAGGATGTCAGACGGGAGAAACATTTCCACAGGCTGCAGTTCGTGTAACCCACCACAGGGGGACAGCTGATATACGTCTCTGAAAAAGAGCTGGGCAGAGAATGTCAGGCTGGGGAGTTTGTATGGAAACTATTACACGCCATTGAGCAGAGATTGGGCTCCTATGCACTTGCCCTTCTCTGAGACGGTGAGTTTGGCTGCTGTCGACCGAAGCTCAAAACAAGCTTTCACCTGTGGGCTCTTCATGGAGTAGCCAGGACCCCAGGAGTGGCTTTGGTGGTTGTTCCATGTGGTCCCTGTGCAGAACAGGGCTGTAACATCCATCCATGGGACTTGTGAACACTCACTGAAGCAGTTGCTGAAGTGAGGTCTGGTATGTGCACTGCATGAGAAAAGTCTGTGAGTTTGCAGCTGGAATCTGTGGTATTCTGCATGAGCATAAAAGGACCAAATGAAGATTCAAAATGCGATTTTTATTTTTGGCACCTCCGAGTTCTGCATGTGTGACTGCACTCAAGCAAATGTCTGTTAAAGCAGTTAATTATATGCAGGTGACTTCAGAGATTTCAATAATATCCAGGCTTCTCTTCCTTTCCCTTGTAAATTAATTTGAAATTAGGATGTCTGATGTTTACCTGTCATTAGGGCATCAGTGAGCTCCTCTATCCAGCCATTCAGCCACTCATCTCTGAATGTGGGGGTTCACACTCCTGGGCATCTCCCTTCACACCACTTGGCATAAGCAACTTCTATGCTGTGAGACCTTATGTGGAGTACTGCATCTGGATGTGGAGTCTTCAGCACAGGAGAGATGTGGGCCTGTTGGAACGCATCCAGAGGAGGGACACACAAACGATCCAAGGGATGAAGCACCTCCCATATGGGGACAGGCTGAGAGAGCTGGGACTGTGCAGCCTGGAGGAGAGAAGGCTCTGAGGAGATCTGAGAGCGACTGTTTGGTATCTAAAATGGGGCTGTAAGAAAGAAGAGGACAGACTCTAGCACGGTCTGCTGTGAGAGGACAAGGGGAAGTGGTTTCAAATTAAAGGAGGGGAGACTTTGGATATAAGGAATTGTTAATAAGAGTGGTGAGGCACTGGAACAGGTTGCCCAGAAAGGTGATGGGAGCCTTATCCTTGGAGACATTAAAGGTCAGGCTGGATGGGGCTCTGTGTACCTAATCTAGCTGTAGATGTTCCTGCTTATTGCAGAGGAGTTAGACTATGTGGCTTTTAAGGGCCCCTTCCAACTCAATCCTATGGTTTTATTCCATGACTCTTACCTAGGACTCGGAGTATGAGCCCTGTAACTCTCTAATCACAGTCAGAATTGGGTACCATCTCTGAATAGAGACTTTCACAACAGCTGAGGATGAGTGGTCTTCTATAAACAGTTTTATGAAGATCTTGGTTCCTTGGGTGCTTTTGTGGCTTTGCATGAAGAGCCTGGGGCTACAAGTGCCTCACTGCAGGAGATGCCTAGCAGTGTCACTAACCAAACACCACTCCTTTTCAGTACTTCTCTGCCATGCTCTTGTGTTACATGCTCCCACAGGTTTAGAATGGGGTCTCTGCTAATGGCAAGGTAAGGGAAGGGGGAAGGCAAAGCAAGAAGCTCTTGGTCACATCAAGCAAAATAAATCAAGTACAAGGACTCAAGATTATCTGGAGGATTAATATCCTCATACCCTCACAGGATGGAGTTAGACACTGTAGGGTTTAATAAGACAACGGAAGTGACAGGCAGAATCAGTTCTGCTTTGGTTAACTGAAAAGGGCACTGTATCAGGAATTCTAGTTAGATATCAACATTTACAAAAAAGAAAAAGCCCTGTAGCCTTTCGCAGTGACTGCTGTTACTTATCACACAATGACCTGGTGACTTGCATTCATAACAGTTCAGTGGGGGAGGAAAATCTGCCTGTCCATGCTGCTGCTTGGCTGTAGGAGCAGCATCCCAAGGCTGGTCACTGGGTCTGTGCACAGCTGCAGCAGGGTGACCCACAGCCATAGTGAGGTCACCAGAATGAGAACACAGGTCTGTTAGCTGCTGGCTCAGCACTAAGATGCTTACAGCAGTTATATATGAGCATAAGCCTGGTGTGCTTCAATCCAATCAAAGTTTATTCAGCCACTGCATGCTCTGCTTTCTGCTGTGAGAACACTGCTTGCACAGACTGCAGGCTTCGGAATAGCCTCCTGCAGCCTTCCTATCCCCTTGGCAACCTAATTTTATTTCTCTATTTATTTACAGGATTGAAAGCTCTATTGCATGTTTCTCTGGGCTGTGAGTAACCCTGAACGCAAGAGAGCCAGGAATAACTCCTTTGGTTTGCTGTCAAGGCTTGACAGTCACTACTTTTATCTTGTTGGTGAGAAAACAAGGGCAACAGAAAGAACTGAGCCAGGCAACTGGTGGCAGAGAGAGAAGCAGCATCTGAAAGGCTCACACAACTCAGGTGATCTCCTGCAGCATGTTCCACAGGTCCCTGCTGTCCCTGGGTAGAGCCTGCTCCTCCTGCCCAGCAGTGCCACTCAGTGCTCCCCAGTGCTTCAGCAGAAATGACCTCTTCAGTGCCCAAAGCTGCTGTAGGCAGGATGGAAGTGCCTTACTGCATTTTTATCCTTAAAGGTTGCAGACACCTATCAGTTAGGTGCTCACAATGAGCTGTTATATGTGCCCAGAGCTACTGCTATCACAAAGGGCACCTCCCAGCTGTAGTTGTATGTAACATAAAAAGCCTCATGTTTTAACCTCTACAGCATGAGATGTTGAGTTTGCTCTCGCTTTTCAATGAGAGTATCCTGCTCACTAGGCTGTCCCTGACTAACTTCCCCTTTAGCATCTTGATTACTTGACAGCTCCTGGCTGCGTGCTGCAGCCAATGGCATAGAAATGTGGACACCTACTGCCTCCTCCCACCAGCACTGCTTCTGTTAATCATGCACTGAAACAAAGGGAAGAACTAATTAATTGCAATGAAAAAGTTGTTATTTTTTTTGCCTGGGTAATCTTTCATAAGATCAGCTCCCACACATTTACAAAAGCATCTGCACAACACTGAACTTTATACCTTCACCTTGAAAAAGGAATGAATGTGATGCATACTTATCAAACAGTTCTAATCTTCATTTACTCATCCCACAAATGAAATCTTGTTGAATGCTTACAGAAAGACAGAAGTAGTAATGTGGAATCAAAGTTACTTTGGTACCTTGACTATATTAATTTGAGAAGTATCTTGCTCTGCAAAAGATAGATGGGAGTTGCCCCCATTCTGCTGCACTGAACTGATACTCAGCAGAAAATACAGATCAGTGAGGTTCTTCTCTCTATTAGAAAAAGCTAACATTACAGAACAGCTAGGGAAAGTTGTTTTCCTTGTTTTCCCTTTAAATATCTCTCTAAACTGAGTATCTCCAGCTGAAGCCTTCATTTTAGCTTCTGTAATACAGACAAGCCTTTAGGAACTAATCTTTCCTGGAAAATGAAGTCAATACATCAAGTCAGCTGTTAATTTTGCAAAGGTGCTGTCTCAGATAAGGGTGTGCATGAGCTACATGTCTCACTTATTTATCTACCACATTTTATACAGCCTAGCTCCAATGTATTTTGAGTACTCTTAGCTCATCAACTGGATAACTGATATATGGAAGCAAGATTAGTTTTTATTAGCTTGAAGTATCATTTTATTCAACTGATAAGAAGTATCAATACATTATGCATCTGCCAGTTATAGTCCATTTTAATTGGTTCCAAAACCTAAGCAGTAAATGGGAAGACAGTTTGTCTAGTTAATCTGAAAACAGTATTCCACACAATCAGTATTGGAGTTGTCAACCGTATAGTAATTCCAGCATTAAGTTATGGCTTTGCAGAAAGTCATGAAGTTAAATTAGAACACATCAAGAGCCATTTTCCAAAGATTTATTGAAGTAGCGACAGGTTGCTCATACTGTGCTGGAAAAAGCAGTTTTATTAATTTCAGATACTTAAAAACAGTATTGCAGCACAAGATATTGCTATTTGTAAACTAGACTCCATTGTAAACTCTAATCCTTCAGGGAGAGTCAGTTTGCAAGATCTAAGACCTATTTCCTAGCATAATAATCTTGCGCTCATGGAAAAACTGGAGAAAGGCACTTGAAAGCTGTTTCTTCCTTTAAGACATGAACTTTTTAAAACCTTGCTGGTAAGAATTTCTCCTGCGTTAAGTTTGCATCTTCACTTCAGCTTTACTCCAAGTCATCATGATGCTGGGAAGTTTCATTAATAACCTGTTGAAAAACAGAGACACTTGCATTAAGCTTAAGACAGTTGTTATAAAGAGTTAGAACTGAACCAAGTAGTAGCACAGATGTGAACAAATATATCAGCATTTGCCTATGAATGAGAAGTTTAGATGGTTAAGCATGTGCAGGTACCATTTAAACTTCAATTTAGTCCAAATACGCTATCCTGCCCCTAGTAAGTGCTTCTCCTCCAACATTTTTCTTATGCAACGGGAGAGATCTTGAGGACTTACAACTCAGCTGAACCTAAAGTCTCCTCTAAATAGAGGCTGTCAGCCACTCAAGCTATTCTGAGATCTGTTTTGTGGTCTATTCCACAGAAGTACATTTGCTACATCTGCCCGTTCAGACATGCAGCTTGGACTGCCAGATACTGTCTACTGTATACAGGCTGCACCAATCAGTGGCCAAGGCTACAGCACTGGGCAAAGTAACCAGCTGAGATAGAAATAAAAAAAATCAAAGTTACCACCAACCTGTCCATCTCTAGTTTCCACGGTCTTAATTAGAAGTGTCCTCTTCGAGTGAGTGTCAACCATTGGCTGAGACTCAATGTTGGTTTCTGCAGAAGAAAATGTATTGTTATCAAGAGTCTAGATGAAATGCCTCCTCATAGAAGCAAGTAATGTCAGTATCTACTTTCAGAATCCCAGTTTAGTATATGAAGAAGTCCTCTTCTCTTTGAGTGATAATGAATTATAAACCAGCTTTACTTATTTTCTTCTTATTCCTCTTAAAGCAGCTTCAACAAGTGATCTAGATTTCTGTTATGTATTGATACTTCTTTATGTGTATGCCCAGGAGCAAAGTACCACCTCTCATCCAAAATTAATAATTGCAAATACTGTAGTTGTGTGTAAGAATGACTTCCATATACAGCTGCATTTACACCAGTTCAAATACCAGAGTAAAAGGAACTATCCATGACCTTTTTGCTAAAGATTAAAAGCACAGACCCAAATGAAGCAGCTTACCTCTCAGGTTCAAAGAAGCAAAGGTTGGAATAGGCATGTTAATCCTGAAGGAGAAGAAGAAATGGATGAAGTCAGACAATGGTACAGAATCTCTAAACAGTAACTGCTAGAAGGTAAGCGTCTGCATGTGATTTTTACCTGCTCTCTTCTCCCTCCAGCAGTTTTCTGTAGGTAGCAATCTCAATATCAAGAGCCATCTTTACATTCAGCAGGTCCTGGTACTCACGAAGATGGCGAGCCATTTCTTCCTTCATGTTCTGAATCTCATCCTGCAGGCGGCCAATAGTGTCTTGGTAGTTAGCAGCTTCAACAGCAAAATTCTCCTCCATTTCACGCATCTGGCGCTCCAGGGATTCGTTCTGGAAGAGAATAAAGTCAAGTATAACTACAGTTCAGCCACTCTTTCTAATGTCAAGACCCTTTATAACTTAAAATAAGGAAAAAACACAAAGGGAAGTTGAACAATGGTGTCCTTTCTGAAAATGCTCAAACACATCCCCAGTTCATCGTCTCCTTATCCTCCTCTTGCAAAGTCCAGGTGTGTTATTCTGGTGTCTGATGAGACATGTTTCACATTTATTCTATCAGACAGCAAAGCAAACCCCCACAGTAAGTCAAACACAGTACAAGTCAGCATGCAGGCAGTACTTGGTGAGGGAATCTACAGGTGTATTATACAGTTAACTCAATTTCAAGCCAGCCTTTCAGGCAACTGGATTCTAGAAAGTGCTAGATCTGCACTTTTCCACTGTTCCCTCAGGCTTTGTATAGCTCATTCCGTATTGTTTATATCTTGAGAAAGACCAGTTCAGTACAGCAATCTGAGCAGTGCACTACACAGTACATGCAGACAAATGGAGCCCTAAGAGTCTTCTTCAGGAAGGATGGGTACACTGCTGTCTTGTATGGGAGATCAACTGCAGCCACACCCATCCACTGAACTACAGCATAGTGCTTAAAAAGCTGCATCAGGAAGAACATCATCTACTTACACTTCCTTTAAGGGCATCAACTTCACAGGTGAGAGACTGAATCTGTCTGCGGTATTCATTAGCTTCTTGTTTGGCCTGGCGCAGGGCATCATTGTTCCTATTAGCAGCTTCGGAGAGATCTGCAAACTGTGGATACAGTTTGTGGTTAGCACTTCACAAAAATGGTGTAACGGACTACTTCTAGACCCAGGATTTGGAGGCAACTGAAGCCATTGCAGGGAAGTTCTAGCACTTGAAATATTTAAACATGAACATTACACTGAACTTTTCCATTCCTGATTGTTGTTTCAAATCCTATCTTAAGTATATACTTAAGAACTGCCTCCAGCTACAAAAATAGCAAAGAACAGGAAATGAGTCCATTAGTTTGATGCTGCACTTAGGGCACAAATGATTTTTCCAACTGTATTCTTCCCAGACCGATAGTTTAAAGACTACTCTACTCTGGCTATGCTAGCATTCTGTACAGAAGGAACACTGAGTGCTGCAGCAAAGCTGTTACCTAAAATTCATTTGAATGCCTGCTGCATCTGTATAATCCTACAATGCATTTTACTTACTTTGGACTTGTACCACTCTTCAGCTTCCTGAAGATTCTTAGCAGCAACGCTTTCATATTGTTGACGGACATCACGCAGGGCAGCAGTAAGATCAGGCTTAGAAACATCCATATCGATTTGGATGTGCTGTTCCTGGAGTTGAGCCTGCAGTTCCCGGATTTCCTTAGAGAGAAGCAGACACTCAGAATTAATAAACAACACTATGCAGAAAATGCACAGGTTAGGACTAGGGACCAGAACCAGAGTTCACTTGTTCACTTAACTGACAGTGCCCAGACATAGACCTCATTACTCAGCTTACCTCATCATGAAGCTTCTTCAAGAAAACAATTTCTTCTTGCAGGGACTCAACTTTGCGCTCAAGATCAAGGCGTGCCAGAGAGGCATTGTCAACATCCTGATCAGAGAAAAAAGAACAATTAGCAATCTTATTTTTGCTACCTCGTACCCCAGCCTCAGAGATCATTACATGCTGCTCTATCACAATTTTGTGCAGCATATGAAAGTGTCATCTTTGCTACAGTATTGCTGACTGTGACCAAGAGCACACATCATGGTGGGTATAAATCCTGCTCAAAGACAAAAGCACATACTTAGTTTACAAGACAGTGCTAAGCTCTTCTAGCTTGACAATACTGAAAACATAGAGTTAACCTTTCAATTTGCAGAATTCTACCTTTTCCAGTGGGGCTTACAAGTGCAACTCATGTACCCACATGAGTGGGCTTAAACTTCTGTTCATCTATGGACTCCTCAGTGACAAACCACAGAGCCCCTTGGCTCCACAGGTCACAACTTGAAAGCACGCTGTTAAATCTAGGGATGTATGCATAAGGACCACAGACTACCACAACCAGTCTGTCAGATGTCCCTGGAGGAAAAGGCATGAACATAAACACAAACAGAGTCAGTCACTGCTGCCTACACCCTCACATTAGCTGGCAAATACTCCACCCTTTGCTGGACAGAGATAGTCTTAATCAACAGCAAAAATTCATTTAAGGCACAAGAGATGACATGCCATGAATGATACATGGAAGCGGTGTTAATTTGTTCAAAAAATAACTGAAAATTAACTATTGATCAGTAACTTCTTACATTTTAAAGAAGCAAGTAAAGCTCTTTATAAAGGGGAAGACTGATCCTTTCACATTGGCTGTGTGGCTATGTTCTTATGGTATTAACGTAAGCAACATGTTTTCACAACTTGCATTACAGCCATTCTATATTTTGTCCAGAACATAAACGTTCCTAATCAGCAGTGCTCACTATTACAGCACATTTGAAACAGGAAAGATTCTCTTTAGACTACCAGGAAGCCATCCTTTGGATTACTCCTATTCAGGGATTAAGCTTTTTGCACCAGAAGAATTCTCCAGCGTTCTTTATCCAGCAGAATGTCCCTTTGATGTGTTATGAAAGTTTCCTATCAACTCCAGTTGCACACCACGGTTCATCTTGGCTCTGTTTTCCAGTTCAGAGAAAAAAAAAATTCCTTAATGCATTTGTTCTCCTCCCAAAAAACTCAAAGATCATTCTGGAAGGAAATTACACAACTATGACCTAACATGTTTACATGACTACTGAGAAATCCAAAGACTTTCCAGTGGATTTTACACAAGTCTCAATACTAAAAGGGATTTTTTTTTTCCCAGAACCAATGTGCTACAGAAGTTTTAGCAACTTCTAATATACAGAAAGCATCTTAAACTGGAGGCTTGTTCAGTACATAATGTGTATTTTACTGTATTTTTTGCTAAGTGCACTTATTCTGCACTCTCTAGAGCCATGTAAATGAAAAAGCTATTAATAGTCCAAGTAAACAAGATTTAAGTCACACATATGAGTAATTGGACTATGTATTGATTTTATCTGAAGAGATTTCTTAATGGCTGAACATCCTCGTTTATTTCAGGAAGCCCCTTGTTAGCCAGGAGCTGACCTGTTTGCTTTGTCATGGGCTCAGATCTGTTCCCTGCTGTCAGAGCATCTGACAAAGCTGTACTACATAACTTTCTCAGTAATTATGATGCCTCTTTTGTTGCACAAACTAGCCACCAAATCCCTAGGCTTATTTGATGTAGGACACCCCACGGCATACAAGGAAAGTCATCTGGCATCTCTTGTTTAGAGGAAAAAATTCAGTAACTCTGAAAACAAGCATACTTTCTCTTCAAAATCTGCATGTTAAAACTATTCTTTTGTGGCAGGGAAAAATTGGGTATACTCTTGTTCAAACCAAACTCAGCAGCATGTACTATTTGTGCCACAAGTCAATTTAGACAACGATCTGCAGTTTTTACATGTAAAGCTGAGAGGTTATGTGGGCACAGCGCATAGACAGAGCAGCTGGAGGCTGAGCGACAGGGCAGGAAAGCGGACAATGAATGTGAGGCACGCACAGCACGGCTCACATAATAGCCCACAGCCTTCACAAAGCTTCATGGGTTGGAGGGAGAGGAAGACATGCCTTGAAGTGCACCAGAACAGCATGCACGATTAAACTAGCTTTAAGTCAAAGGAGCTTGTGCTTGAACTCTAGTAATTTAAAACAAAAAAGGGAAATGCCTCTGCACTGACTTGGCAACTACTTGGATTGGCTCAGCCCTAGTAACACAGCAGCCTAGGTTAAAGGCAGTACCTGGAGCTGCTGTTGCAAGCTTCAGCCCCCAGAATCAGTGGACACCTCATTCCCAGACCCTGACAGATGTCTGCTCTCACATTGTCTCCCTGAGACCTTTAGGGAAATTTTAAAAATCAAACGATGATGACGACTGTGTGGTGACACCTTCTATTGCCTATGGAGAGCTCTGGGATGGTCAGCCTGCACCCAGCTGTCTGGAGATAGAGGGCAGCTGCTTCCAGCCTAGAGGAGTTGTTTCACACCAGCAGGTTTCAGGAAGTTATCTTGTTTTGAAAAGGCACATTCCTAAACATCTGCTAC